AGCAGTGAAATTTCCCCATTCCAGCATCTCCGGCTCTGCTTTGTGAACCACCTTCATGATCCAAAACTTTTCCAAAACAAATCATTAGCCTTTCTATCACCTCTGCTTCCCTTCCAGGTGACACACAGGCAAAAAAACAAAAAACAAAAACAACCCCGCCCACACAAAACACAGCAAAATAATAACCATTATTTTCATATTGAGCATTTGCTAAAACGCTAGATTCATTATTTGAACTTTCATACTTACTTGTATCATTCTCCTACTAAGATAAATGTTATTATTATTTCTATTATTCCTATTTTATAACAAGCAAAGCTCTGAAAGTTTAAATATATGCACAAGTTTAAAAAATAAGTGCCAGTCAAGATTTAAATCTAGGTCTAATACCAAATTCCAGTATTTTCAGTACATGTAAAAATCCCTAATGATGCTCATCAAATATTCCAGCTCTGCCTTCAGGGCACATGCATGGCAGGGCTGCACCTCTGGGTACTTTCCAATTTGCGTGAGGCCATATGACAAATTCAAGCCAATGAATGGAAATGAGTGTTTCTTCTGAACCACAAAATTTGTTAGAGTGAAACTCCAGAACACTGTCTCCTAGAAAAGTTTAAGACAGTGACAGCTTAGGTCCCAGGGTATAGACATGGAGCACTGCTCACAGCCAATTGGCAAAATGTAGCACATATAAGAAATACTCCCTGTTGGAACAGCCACCAAGATTTTTGAGTTGTTACCACAGCCTGACTTAGTCTATCCTGACTGCTACCACCAGTGGTCTCAAAAGTCAAATATCATCTCATCTCAATGGGTCAGGATACAGTATGAAAATAGAATGGAATAAGTTAAGGTCCACTGAACTTTTCAAAGGGGTTCATGTAAAGTCTAGCATTAGGCAATTGCCAAAGTTACAAAAGACAACTCTGCCTAACGTGCCAAGTTTTTATTTTTAATGGTTTTCCTTAGAACTTTCCAACCTCATTAGCAAGAAAACTTAAGATTTATTAAGTGGTTCTCTAATGGGGGCGATTTTGTCCCCAAGAAGACATTTAAAATGTCTGGAGGTATTTTTCTTCCTCACATCTCTGGAGGAGTACCACTGGCATTTAGTTGGCAGAGGCCAGCAAAGCTGCTAATTATCTTATAAATGCACAGCACGGCCCTCACAGCAAATCATCCAGCTCAAAATGTCTGTAGTGTCACCGTTGAGAAACTCTGATAGAGGTGAAGAACGCCTTTCTGATTTCAGCAGGGGAAATGTCTGATTCAAAAACAGCAATTTACTTTTTAAAACTAGGTTATTTTTGCTCAGTAAACTCATGCATTGGGTTCTCATTAGTCCTCATGGTGATACTGTATTAGTTAAGATTATAAATAGTAAACAGGAGTTTCCTTTTGTTAAGATAAGGGTAACACAGATAAGAAAAATCAGGAGAAAGATTGTAAGTCATCCCTGTTAATAATTTGCTTCAGTAAGGTATGCTAGCCACCCTGATTATACTGAAATAAGACAACTATGAACTTCTTCCTGGTCAGCATATTAACAAGGTTTGTAATATTTTCTTGGTTTATATGCTTACCTTAAAGGACCTTTCTATTTCATAGATTCATTAAAATCGATTGTCCTAATTGATACATGAAGGCAAATTAACTAACACAGTACCAGAAGAAAAAAGAAGGCTCTCTTGGGTTGTTCCTCCCTTAAATCTGCCAAAAGACTGAAGAATTCATCAAGGGGTTAGGTAAATTAGAAAGCAGCCCTTTTGTGAGCAAGCACAATGCTAAGTCAATACCTCTCCCTACTAATGGTCCATTAGTCTAATGACATCTCCTCAGAGTCAGAGCCTGTCCTTTCAATTGATCATATGACTGTCAACAACACTTATGAAGCACTTACTATAGAGGCCAGGCAATGTACTAGATATTTTATTAATAGCCAAAAAGTTCTTGTTTCTAAGCACTTACAGACTAGGGGAAAATAACAATAACAATAAACTAAATACAAAGAACTAATTACTAGTGTGCAGTTACTAGAAATCAACATGTATGAACTGGGGCACCCAGCCCAGCCTGGATAGAAGTTTGACTAAGTTGGTGCTAATTAAGCTGAGACCAGGATAGTAAGCGAGGTGAAGCTGGTTGGGTGAAATGCTCAACTCCAAATGGCAGCTCAAAGGCCTTCAAATAGGAGGGAACAATGGTGAACAAGAAATGATACTTCCTACAACTTGCTTTAAAAAAAAAAAATCAGAACCCCTTGAGTTATATTTTTTCTGCAAGATGGAAAAAGATTTTGAAAAAAATGTACGACAGGAAAGAAAAATCAATATGTAAAAACATATGGAAAGGAAGAAAAACCATACTCATTTGTTCAATAAAAGTAGAAACATTATGAAATTACCAACTAAATTCTCAGAAACACAAGTGATCTGCTCCTTCAGCTAGTTCATGACAACCCGTATTACGATAATATATTAACAATCGTGTATCAGCATTAATTTGCACAAATTTCCTTCTTACTGCTTCACATTCTTGCACACAAGTGCTTGTTTTCCTTCTTAACATCCATGAGTCTTAGAATATTCTTCAAATTAATTTGCCTTCATTATTCTAAAAGGTTTTAAGTTTCAACCTGATTTCTGAGAGCCACAGCTTAAATGCCTATCACGTTATCTCCCTCTGTTCTGTCTGAGACATAATGCTATGCTTAATATATTTATTCCAAATCCCTTAAAGCAAGAATTTGTGACTGTATTATTCTCAATTATATGTAAGGACAAAATAAAGGCTGGATAAAATTCTAAAACAATTTGAGAAGAACAATTAAGAATAACAATTTAAACAACTGTTGATTTAATTCATACATCTTTTATTCTTCTTTTGGCAAACAGATAATAGGAGCAAAACTATATTGCTCATTATAGTTACATACATTCTTTTTTGCTTTATATAAGTTTGTAAACATATGTTAAGTGGATAAAATTCTTGGCTAAGGACATATTCCAAAACTCTGACATATACTTTTCTGAGTTAGGAGAAAAGAAAGCTTATGAAACTTCCGTTAGACCATAATCACACAGCAAACTAAATTAGTATATGCTGTTTTTAAATTAACATCTGCCATTTTTTAAAGACTTCAATATTTGGTTACAGCTAAAATGATTTTTATCTGAAGTTTTATGAAAAAACAGAAGCTGACCACACAAATCTTACTCATAACCATATTGGACATTTAAAAATAAAAAATAATAAAACTATAATCAAGAAAATACCATTCATCTTATTAGAAAAAAATAGCTACCAATAAGTTATTTTAAATATAGATGGCATTTGTAATAACTAGGTTTCATGATATTTGTTTTATTACTTCTCAATGCTTATCTTTTGATTTTAAAGTAACAGATTACTTCATAATAAAGGCAAGACATTTAGCAATTTTATAATTTAACTTTTATAAATTTCAGGCCCCAAAAATTTCAGATCAAGGATTCCAAAACAGTCAGCCTTCAGAACATATTTTGTTTGGCAGACAGAATAGTTTTTCATCTTTTGAACTGGAATACCTTCATGCAGTACTTACTTGTTCTATCTAACTACAGTCCCTACCTGCTTCCCACATTGTCACCAGCTGGGCATGTGAGGCTGACACTCGTTTTTAGTATTATAAAACCCAATATTTACTTAAAAAAAATAGTGCATTCATGGAGGAAAAATTCAAATACTATGAACTTGATGCTAAATCTTAATACTCATTCCTAATTTGGGAAAACTAGATCAAACCAAAAAGGACTCATTTTCATAATACTTAGTTATATAACAAATTATCAATGAGACATGTTTCTATACATGGATACTGTCCTCTTAGGGAGAACACTGTTAAGAGTAACCTGAAATCAGAGCCAGATAAATCATTCACATCACACAAAGTATTGTATACTGACTTTACTATACAGTCATAGCTCCCAAACAGCGGCTTTCAACTTCATCCCTACATGTAACACATTCTCAAATATCTGAATTAAAGGAAAGGTGTCATTAATAAGGCTAACTAAAATAACAAAGGCTTTCTTCTAATCCTAGAGAATGAAACAAAAAGAAAGGTCTTGTAAAACAAATTGGAAATGAGTAAGAATTTGAAGTCAAGTTGGCCTTGGACCCTCTTACATTGCTACTCCATTTGTACAAGTTAAAGAATAAGAGAGGCCACAAACTGTTTCTTAGTGGAAAAGCCTGCACAGAAAACAAAGCAGCTAAGTGAGGATGAGGAAAATATAACCAAGAATATAAAAATTTGTAGTTATAAAGGTGATCAAGAAATGATGGTACTGGAGCTCCTGGCTGGCTCAGTCAGTAGGGCATGGGACTCTATCTCAGGATCATGAGTTCAAGCCCCATGTTGGGCAGAGAGTTTACTTCAAAAATAAAAAATAAAAATAAAATAAAAAAATAAAGACACTAAAAAACTTTTGTAAAAAAAAAAACTGGTGGTTGTAATTCCATTTGGAAGTTTAAGAAACAGCAAGGAGTAACAAGTAAATTAGAGAGATGGTAATCTGACAGGTCTTTATTTGCACACAAATAAAAGGCTAATCTGTAATTCTTTAGAGGTCTGATCTGATAGGGAACACCTATTTACCTATGAATTTGTCTCATTTCTTAAACTTAACTGATTCCCATGTGAATAAATATTTTAAATTTTTTAGTTATTAAAACAAGCTTTTTAGCTACACTTTGATGGGATTATATAAAAAGCTTCATAGTATTAATCCCATCCGTACCAAGGTTACTGAAATCAGATTCATTTATAAGCATTAATTAAATTTGCTATCACCATTACCACATAGTTTCAAGACAAAGAGACCGAATCATTTCATTTCTTCAAGAAGAGTTACATTAAAATGGTTACTGAAAGCTTTTAGTAATAAGGAGAAAAAAAATTTTATTTTCAGTGCAGAACAGAATGTTCAGGATCCGATATTAATAAAAATATAAGCAAATAGGGTACTATCTTGGTCTGTAAATGATGGTTCTCTACAATGGACTCTAAAATACCAATAAGGGAACACTGGTTAAAGTTTATCTCTGACACATTTTTAAAAAATCTGTTAGTAGCTTTGCCATAAAACTGATTTAAGGTAGTTGTGTTTTTCAGTAATGTTAGAACAATCCAGCACTTGTAACAATAGTCAGATCGGCACACTGTACTAAAACATAATTATGCAACATTTTGTAAACTAGCTGCAATTTTCAGTAGCTGTGTTCACCAACTGTGTAACAGAATTGTAATGTTCTCCTAAGCCGTATGCATGTCTCATATATCTGAAATGAGAAAAGGAGAAATGAGTAGTTTAGATAAAAGTAATTCGTTGCATATAAATGTTTATTATGTATATAAAACCAAACGCTCTGAATGAATCACTCCACAGGGGTATCATTCAACGACTGCACTGACATATTACTTAAAAGTTCAACACCATTTGAAAAGCATCAACAGTCAGTAAAATCTAGTTCAATAACTCTGTAGATGAGTTTAAGTGGGGGAATATACAATCATTGGGGGGTAAAGGGAAATACTGAAATGCTGAGTGCTCAATAAGTTTAAATTTTTACCTAAATTTAAGCCATTAATGACTATCTTTGTAGGTTTGAGTAATAAACACTAAAGCCAATAGTGAACTCTCCATGCTGTGTTTCAGAGAAGAATTCTTATTCAGGTAAAATATTTTTACAGTATAAAGAAACAATCTCAGGGCGCCTGAGTGGCTCAGTAGTTAAGCGTCTGCTTTCAGCTCAGGTCATGATCCCAGGGTCCTTGGACCAAGCCCCTCATCGCATTGGGCTCCCTGCTCCGCGGGGAGCCTGCTTCTCCCTCTCCCACTCCCTCTGCTTGTGTTCCCTCTCTCGCTGTCTCTATCTCTGTCAAATAAATAAATAAAATCTTTAAAAAAAAAAGAAAAAATCTCTAAGGAATAAACAATTAGGCAACGTGAATGTATTTCAGCTTTTACACTTGTTGAAACTTAGCGTTATTCATGTGAAACCAGGACCATATGAAAACTAATGCTAAAATGTGTCACCTTTAGAAATGACTTTATTCTTAACTCATACACAAGAATAAACCACTAGAGGTTCTTAAACAATTATCTAAATCATATATTGACAATGCTTTCTAATTCTATAATTGCCTTTAACATAAAATAGCATAATTAATGCAGCCAAAGATAGATTTTTTTCTGATTAATCAACATACACAACCTAAAATCTTTGAATAACTTTTTGTCTTAAATATGAAAAATGTAACAGTAGAAATTTCCAGGTACTTACACAAGTATTAATGGGTTTTTTGGATATTCTTCACCAACTACAATAGGCGGAGAATCTGCCTGTATTATCTCTATTGGTGTTTGCAAAATGTGAGACAAAGCTCTTAGCTAAAGGAAAGAAAATGTGTTAGTAAGGAAAATAAAAAGGTAAATCTTATTCAAATCATAAACTACTGAGTATGCATGAATAGGGCAATCATCATCCAGCATGGATCTATTCTGTTCCTCACTGTACACCAAGAGCCTGCCACATAGTGGACACTTAATACATATTTGTTGAAAAAACAAATATAATATTTATTAAATCAAATGCAGAAGTTTCAAGTCCTAGCTGCGTGACAGCTTTTTAGAAATAGCAGTACCACGGTTAATGGAGTGAGGACAGGGGTAGATTGGACTCATTATACTAATCTCTCTACTTTTGAATATTGCATGAAAATTGCTAGTTTTTAAAAATACTATTGCTCAGACACCCGACCAAATCAATTACAATTTGGGAGGGGCTAGGAGGAAGGAGAGAAAGAACAGGGAAGATTAGGAGGTTTGCTTATTTTTTTAAAGCTGATGATTCTAATGTACCAGTGTTGATAACCACTGCTTCATAATTTTCAAGGCATGACTAGAATGAGTTATGTTTAAGAACTGTACTATCCTTTCATGGTATTTCCATCTGATTAATACATAATGTTAATTTCATATCCTACATTATAAAATTAGAGCTTAAAGTCAGATGAGTAATAGTTAATAATAAGTATTAGTCATAACATTGTTTAGATTTACTATGACCAAGCACACTAAGGCACTTTATGTGTATTTAATTCGTGCAATCCTCACAATAACCCTATGGGATAGGTACTACTACTGTTATACATTTTAAAGATCTAGAATCTGAAGCAGAGAATGGTTAAGGTGCCTCTCTGTAGTCAAGCACAAGGAAATAAAATGACCTGCAACTGAAATGAGTAAGTGTGACTGTGGAGTCCAAGTTCATAAATTAATCATTTAACAGTCCTCACTCATGGTGCCCTCATCTATATATTTACCCAATTATAAGAACATTCTGCCTAGAACATGGTCCTTTTAGGAAGTTTTAACAAAGGTAAGAAATTACTTCAAGAATATGAAAAAAATTCTATGCTGCACAACAGCAAACTTAATCCTATGTGATCTCTCAAAACAAAGTTCAAGCATCTTTACTCCTAATGTAGTCACAAAGCTACTATGAACACTTCCTGAGTTTCAGAGATCCAGGAGGGGCATACAAAATGAATGGACATAGTTCCCTCTGGTGGTTCAGAAGAGGTACAAATATAGCACTACTGAGAAAAAGATTTGAAGAAGCATTCACGCCATTTCTTCCAAAAAAATAGTTCTTGAAGTGAAATACTTCAAGCCACAAACTATTCAAGATGACTAACCATCACTACACAGTATTAATTACACGCTAGATTCATCCAGCTGGTACTTCAGCTTACGGAGTGCTATGCACGTACTACCTGTCTTATTTAATGTCCACAAATGACCTACCAAGTACACACCCGCATTGAATTAGGAAACTCGAGCTCAGGAGGCTGGCTGACTCCAGATCACAAAACTGAGACGTGGAGGGAAAGCCAGGACCCAAACCCAGGACTTTCTCTCTCATCCCCTGACTTTCAAATACCCCAGGCTGCCCCATCACCACTTGGACCAATTAGGTGTTTTATTTTGTTTAATGAAACAAAGCTAACAATAAGATAAAGCTTTAAAAAAAATCCTGATTAATTCCCTACAAGTGACTGAACATACTGTTTTCCTACATGTGAATTTTAATGCAGCAGATACTGCTTTGCAGTCAGTATCAACTAGAATTCCAATTGTAATGTATTGTGGTAGGATTTGGCCCATAATTTCACATAAAAATACTGTTTTCTATTTCTAATGTAATGGATATGTTACTTTACAATAGTGATTTTCATCATCTGAGCCACTAGGGTAAATTTTACTGTATTTGAATAAAATCCTCCTTTCTTAAGTCCAGAAAATCAAACATATTGCCAGGAGCAGCATCACAAACGGAAACACACAGGTACAAGATTAGCCTCACCAACCCAGAGATCAAACACTGGACTATTTAAAATGAAATACTGGGCGCCTGGGTGGCTCAGATGGTTAAGCGTCTGCCTTCGGCTCAGGTCATGATCCCAGGGTCCTGGGATCGAGTCCCGCATCGGACTCCCTGCTCCTTGGGAGCCTGCTTCTCCCTCTGCTTCTCTCTCTCTCCCTCTCCCCCTCTCTCTGTCTCTCATGAATAAATAAATAAAATAAAAAAATAAAAATAAAATAAAATAAAATGAAATACTGCTTTACTTCCCAAAGATACATACTTAAATCAAAGGCCTAAGAATGTTAACTCCCTATTTCAGTGCTTCATCAGTAGAGAAATAGCAAATACATTAAGAAAAGGGATACTCAGAAACTAGGATCAGCTGAAAAATATGTCTGAATACTACATATGGGATTTAGAAATTAAATTTAACAATCCACAAATACCATGAATAATTACAAACTTACCTCAAGCTGACCTCCCCATGCAGCTGTGTTGACAATATCATCACAGTACTTTCTAAACTCTTCTGCAGAGAAAAATGAGAAGATACACTTAATAATTTTCATAACTCATGTTACAAGATCCCTTTTATAGCTCCCACAACTCCTGATTATTACTCAAGTTGTGAACTTACACCTTCCTCTACCTGCACTCTCCAGAATTTAATCCACTTCCCATATCCAAACTTAATTCACTCCAACTTTCTACCACCTCTCCATCTGAGAGCAAAGCAATTCATTTCTGCTTCTCTCCCTCAGCCTGAAGCCCAGGCACCTTCACTACATAGCAAGGCTCTTCTTCTGTTTACTCAGGCAATCCCCCAAATTACCACCATATTCACTACCTTGACATGTATTTTAAAGCCCAGACCTCCATCTGAAAAAATATACAGAACAATTAGAACAGTGCAGCCTTTATAAAATCAGGTCTACTCTAAGACCCCATAAGAAATGTGAAAAGAGAATTAGGGTAAAAGTAGAAATGACCTGAAATTCCTTTCCCAGCAATAGCACCGGAGTGCCTTCACTTGTTATCTCGAAGGCGTTTGCCTTATTTGCTTCAGTATCAGTTCTAGCCAAAGAAAGGGCTTCCTGGATCAGTCATGAGAGTAGGCAAAGACCTAACTGCAGTTTAATGGCACATCTTGGGCATACACACTTTTATACAGAAAGTTAAAATGGAAAACGAATACCCTCCCTGTTTAGAGGAAGGGAAAAGAATTAAGGGCATCTATAGAAAATATGTCCTGTGGGTTTGTCTCATTCACTGCTATATCTCCAATGCTCAACACAGTGCCTAGAATAGTCCCTGGCACATAGTGGCCCTCAATACTGGTTGAATAAGAAATTAAGTATTTTATCTTTTTTTAAATTCAGCATGCTGAGTTGCCACCTCTTTTCCACTGCCCTGCAACTAGCACAGTTGGGGACTCCATTAAAGGAAAGCCAACCTTAACCTTCTCTTCTCCGACCCATCCTGGCCATATGACTTGCTCCCAAAGTATACTACCACACCTGCATCTTCCCTTAAGGACTAACTTTCCTCTGTTCTATCCCTGACTCCCCCCAAAACTCTCAGATTTTCACCTGCTCTCTCCTTTACTTGCTAGTTGTGCATTTTTTTACACCTCTCCATAAATATCTTACCTTAATTACCAAAGGTATTATAAAGAATAATAAGGCAGGTTATTAACTTATTTCTTTTTGGTTTGGCAAAATCAAATTTTGCCTAAATATTATGGCTTATTGAGAAAATTAAATCTCCCAGTGTACAGGATAAAAGTAGGATTTAGTTTTCCCAATCATTCTGCTTATGGTCTTTGGGCCCTATACTTCCATAGACTAGTCAAAGCTTACGTAACTCCCTCTATGCCCAAATTTGTGACATGTGAACTTATAAACCACAATTTTTTTCAATAATAATAATCCTATTCCCATTTTTATCTTAAACATTAAACCACAAAATGGTCAAGTACTTAAAAGATCTTAATAAAGCAAAATGAACTAGTAACTATTAAAATTATAAAAAATAATTCTGCCTAATTTTGAGATTTTTTTTTTCCCTCTATAAGGACTATCACGGGTTTTTCTTATTCTCAATCCCAGAAATTGTTTTATTTAACAGCAGCAACAAGACATAGTAGAAAAAAAAAAAAAGACATAGTGAAGAAAAATAAATTACCTGGAGTATACATATCTCCTGTATTAGGATTTGTTAAAAATGGCAGAAAGTCTTCCACATGGCCTTGTATATATTCAGCAGTTTGACTTCTCAAGGCGGCCACAGTCAAGGGGCATTTCTGTTCTTTCAGCTGATCTTCAATGGCTCTATACATACAGTGGCCATCAGATGGAATCTGTTTAATTTCCAACTGTCTAGCGGCCAGTATTTGAGCAAGTTTTTCACTTTCTAGGTGTCTAGCTCCAGATAAGTTCTCAATTTCAGCTTCAGCTATCCTTTCTTCCCGCTCCTTTTCCAATGCAGCTTTTTTGTCCTAGGATGAGGAGAATACAGGAAAGTTAATTTACAATAATTAGGACTATTTCACATTTATTTAGGGGATAGAAATGTAAGACGCTCAAAACTTTCTGCCATCTTCCTTCTCCCACAAGCATTATCATATTGATGATCTCATCACTTATAGAATGTTCTACACTATGAACTCCTTTAAGGGCAACTATCTTTCTCATCTGCATGTACCCAACACCAAGCTCTGTACTAGAACCAAAAACAGCCTTCAAATTTTTCTTTGAAGTCTATTTAAAAACTACATGACAAGTTTCTAAAAATTCTACTTACTGATTTCAAAGTACTGCCTTAAGACTGAGTTGTCCTAGGCCTTAAAGCAACATCATTATCATATTTATGCCAAGCTAATTCAAGCTTTTTAACTTATCACTCAACTACTGGGTCATTAACATGCTAAATCACCAGTGAGGCATCAATATGCCAAAGCCTTTAGAAGGGTACGGGAATTCTATTTATCTAGCCTAAAGAAAAAAACTGTGTGTGTACACACACACACACACAACATTTACTAAAGCAACAGATAAAAAAAATCTTCTTATAAAAAATTAAAATATTACAGATAGACTGAAGTTCCCCTAAGGACCACGGCCAATTTCAATGCCTGCTCTAGAGGTCTGGTGATTTTTTTTCTAAGCTTTTTAACAAATATAGATGTACTCATAAAAAAGTATGGAAAAAATATTTTGACAAAAAATGGTATCACATTACATTCTGCAACATGCTTTTCCTTATTCAAATGTCGTAAGAGCTCTTCCTATGGCAACATACGCAAGGATGGTGTAGGGATAGGGCAATGAGATCTGTGACATGAAGGATGGATAGGAAGTAAATGGGAAGGCTGGGGAAAATGAGAAAAAAAAGAAAAAATCCTGACAGTTATACCAGCAAGGATCAAAGCCAGAAAGCACTATATGTTTCATAGCTGAACACGGTTCATATAGCTAGAGTACTATAGAAACATGTCAAGAAATGAGGCTGGGGGCAAAAAAGGTATGTATATAGTTAATATATGTTAAATCTATGCATACATAGTTTAAAAATTAGAGAGATATACACAAAATACAGTGCTTTTCTCTGGATCATAGGATTACAAAATAAGTTGTTTCCCCCCTTCACCTGTCCCCCCATCCAACTCCCCTCTAGCAACCACCAGTTTGTTCTATTTAGAAGTCTGGCTTTTGTTTACAAAGTAAGTTTTGTTTTGTGTGTGCACGCATGTGCACTTTTCTGCATCTTTCTAATTCTCAATCGTGAATATGTTTTACTTATATACAGGTCATGAATCTTTTTCAATTTAAGAGAATAAAAATAGTTAAGTTACATTCCACAAATCTTGATATTGGTAGCAAATTACAGTGAAGGATTTGGTAAATCAAGAAAAAGAAGGAAAAAGTAAAGATTTTCGTGTCCCTAGCTCCCATTCCTCCTTGGGGCAGAAGAAATTAATGGAAAACAAATTTCAACTTAATGTCACACACTTGAACTACTTGCCTGTTATGTGCCATGCTGGAACCTAAAGTGATTTGTAAATTACCTGAATAAAAAACAGTATTATCTCCCTAATAAAACATACACCTATTTAAGTTTATTCCACCCGAATCCAACCATGCCAGAAGTAACATGAACAAATTTATTTCACTGCATATCTATAACTATGTTACCACAGCAGCATAAAAACCTTAAAACACAAGATGGCACTGTTACATTTTGAAAGTCTAAAAAACATTTTCAGAGGGGAGAGGGAGGATAAGCACCTTGGATATCATCTAATCCAAAACCCCTCATTTTCCTCTGAGGAAACAGCACGCAGAAAGATTTCCAAAGGCCATACAGCTGGTTTAGAAGCAGATTGGGACCAAGGACAACACAGAGCACTCCTTCTATCCAGGCACCTAAATCAGAATAAAAGTTGGAGCAGATGGGAGCTGGAGTTAATGATGTCATATACTAGTTACTAGATGAGTGGAATTTTACACTGTCTGCAAAACCATTTAACCCTCTAAAATACTAATCCAAGCATTTCACTTTTGCCCTCAAGCTCTGCTTCAATGTTACACAGCAATTGTGTTTTCTTTCCAGGGCACAAGGGGGGAAATTCACTGCATTCTTTTCCCAGCCATGGATAGTTTCCCAATGGCGCTAGGCACTGTGGTTTCTATAGCCCTAGTGCTTGAGACAGAATGGCAACAATTTATTTATTTTTTATTTTTTTTTAAAGATTTTATTTATTTATTTGAGAGAGCGAGAATGAGAGAGAGAGAGAGCACATGAGAGGGGGGAGGGTCAGTGGGAGAAGCAGACTCCCTGCTGAGCAGGGAGCCCGATGTGGGACTCGATCCTGGGACTCCAGGATCATGACCTGAGCCGAAGGCAGTTGCTTAACCAACTGAGCCACCCAGGCGCCCCAGAATGGCAACAATTAAGTCTAATGAAAACATATATTTAAGATGAAAACAGCAATTAACTCAAATATACTGTCAGTAAAACTAGAGTCATTTCAATATAGCAATGTAGCAAAATCATCTCTGAAGAGAAATCTTAAGAGCTAGGTACTAGTCCTGGGTTTGTATCAAACTCAGCCACTAAGACAACTGGGCTCTCTCATTTGTAAATAAAGAAATTGAACTAGATCTCATTCCAGCTCCCAAATTTCCTATTTTTGGAACCCAGTTCTTCTAAATTCTACTTTGGGCTCTTCCCAGCATACCAAAGAGCTTCTTCCATTGAAGCCTGCTGAATTAAAAAAATATTCCTTGTGTTTTTCTAGATTCAAAATTAGAAATTTACTCTACAATATTCCAATAATAAATCTTCATAAAGTTTTGTCAGTTTTTTTTCTAAGGACAGAATTGTATCTCTCCCAAAGATAAACACAACTAATTTATTGGCTTTTCATTCCTCGGTGTTTTCGGCAGGAAAAAAAAAAAAAAAGTTTAGGTTTCATTTTCGTATATACTATAAACTTTCAAGTCTTTTCAGTTCTAGAATGTGCTATTACTACTACTAATATAACAAAGCAATAAAAAATTTCAGGCATTACTTCTAGGGTGTTTTCTTGCCAAGTGTTTAAGCAGCTGACTATAAAAGATACTAAATTTTTTGAGGGTATAGTTGAAAAGGTATGCATTTCAGCTATGCAGAATTTTAGGAGAAAATTAACAAGATGTTTGAGAAAAGTAAAGGAGTTTAATTTTTTATTTGTTTTGTTGCCTAAGGGTCCAGCTGGGGATGAGTAAGATTTGATAAAGACAGGAAGGGGCTGGGACCTAGGTTTTCAAGAATTAAATAGGCTACTCTTAAGATGTATCAATTACTAAGTAGAGGTAACTCCAACAAGTATTTTGTTATGCTCCTGCCAAGCATAAATTCTGACCTTTGCTTTTGATCTATAGAAGCTAGATGACAACTATAAGGCTCTCACAAAAAGAACACATATTAAGTAGGGAGTTAAAATAGATAACCTCCAAGATACTACAAAATCTAAGTTGCATGATTCTATGGAATTCACAAACATGGTATTTACTCAAAAAAATAAAATCTTACATAAGTATGAGAAATGTTTGACAACTTGCAACTTAATCAACTTTCAAACAACAAAAAAAAGATATAGTCTTGGGTTGAATTTCTAAGAGGCACACTATGCAGGACTGAACACAGTAAACAATACTACCATTTGCTGACGCACTGGTTCTCCAGGCCTTGTGTTAGGGCTTTGGAAATGGTACATTATTTAATATTTACAATAACTCTATAAAGTAGGTATTATTTACCCCATTTTGTACATATGAAACTGAGGTTTAAAAAAGTTAAGAATCTTACCCAAAGCCACCATAGTAAGTGGGATATTAAAACCTTCACATGTCTGACACCAAATACCATGCCCTATTAAATTATGTACTACTAAATTACAAAATGCTAAATTAGCTTAAAAACAAACATTTAGATACTATAAAACATCAAATGTTAGTAAAACAGTATTTGAGACTAAACATACTAGATTTAAACCCCTTTTTCTTTTCCAAGTGAACAGCCCTTACCTATCTAATTTCATTCCCGTAACTTTGATTTCATGAACTCACTACTCCCAACAAATCAGTTTCCTTATAGCTCTCTGATGTTGCAAAATTTCATGCCCACATTTATTTTTATGCATGCGGTTTCTCCTATTCAAATATCCTATCTAATTAACTGTACTTTCTTAAAATTCCAACTCATTATATAATACCTGGCACAAATGAACTTTTCCTTCTCTGAATTTTCACTGCCACTAACCGTTACGTAGATACTTGCATAATCCTGAGAATTCTGTACACCTCTGTATCTTGCTTAATTTCTAGATTCAAATCCTTGTTTCACCACTTAACACCACAGTTTTTAACCAAAACAGAATCACCTGGGCCCACAATCTGAAGATTCTGAATTAAGTCTGGGATAATATATTTGTAAAAAATATCCTTTGCACACTCCCTTCCTATCCCTACTCTCTATGAGACCTGGAAACTGTACGTGTTATTTTATACTGTTTAGACCTATTTTCTTCTCTTCAAAATGAGGATAAGAATCTACTTCACACGATTATAATCAGGACTAAATGAGATTTCATATAATCTATAAGCCTAGCATTGTATCTGGCACATACTAAGTGTTTAATAAATGTTAGTTCAGGTATTTGACAAGAAACTCCCATCATTTTTTTTCCTATTCCCTTCGTGTATGTATACAACACCTAACATAGTAATAAGCATGTAGCACTAACTTAATTACTTGGTGACATGACATTCATACCCGTCTCTTTTGTGCTTTTGATATCCGAGGTGGCTGATTCTCAAGAACCAAGTTTGAAATGTTAACAGCAACAGAATCTATCTGAAGGAAACAAAAGCATTACCAAGTTAATGAAAAATACTTTTAAGTTATTATTCAAAGTATTAGATTATTAAGTTATTGAAAATCACACAAAAAAAGAAAATCACAGGTATATGTAATACAACAATTCAAATTTGAATAACAGCACTAGGTACAATATTACATGAAGTGGCTTTGTCTCCTATTTCTATTTTTAAGGGAGAATTCATCAGATTCCCAAAAAGTTTCCTTAGAGCTCTCCAAAGATAACACTCATCCCTGCAGGCTTTCCTTCCTTGAAATTCCTACTCCATTAATCTAAATATTTCCTATAAGTGTCAACTCATTCAGCAGTTCATCCTTCCCTTCTCTAAATGCTGAGAGTACTTATAGGACATATAAGATCCTGTGTTGAGGTGCTTGAGTGGCTCAGTTGGTTAAGTGTCAGCCTCTTGATTTCAGCTCAGGTCATGTCAGGTTCCACACTCAGCGGGGAGTCTGCCTGTCCCTCCCCCTCTGCTCCTCCCTCTGCGTGCACGATGCCCACGCTCGTGCTCTCTTTCTTAAATAAATAAAATCTTAAAAAAAGAAAAAATAAGGTCTTGTGCTGGATCAGTTCATTACCACCTTCATAATCTCAAAAGCGTATTGTATGGTGACTAACATAACATAATAAAATTAAAAATAATAATAATAATAATAATAATAATAATAATCTCAAATGCGGCAGGAAAGACCTTTTCCCATCTCAATTAGCCAGAACCTGGTGAACACTGTTGAGCTTTCTCTATCCTCTCCCATCTACAAACTGATAACTACAGGTAGAAAAGTTAATGTATTGTTTAGATATCACAACAAATCTTAATCATCAAATGGCTATCATGTGTCTGCTGAAGGAAGAAGAAAGATGCTAGACTAATGATCAGGGTTAGTACTAGTATTTTATTACTGCAATGTAACTTAAACTAGTTTTTAGTATGACACATGCATAAAGCATATAGAGGCCTCTCATAACAAAAGAGATAGTAGGCTCCAAGGCTACAACCAAATTATCAAAATATCAAAACCAGATTAAGACTTCTGAGTATAGTTACATCAACTTTAATAAAATTAGTATCCTTATATTTTTCAGAGGAATCTGCTAAAATCTACAAACTGCCATACTGACAAGAGGCAAGATAGAGAGAAGCATCTGGAAAGCAATGACATGAGAATTCAGATAGTGTTCAGAAAGAAAACAAGCTTAAGTTAATGAAAAAGATAATAGGTCAAAATAAAATGGGACTTTGTATTTTAACAGTTGAACAATATGTAGCTTAAGAATCAAACATTTTTGTCCTTGGAAACCTAAGAAAGAAATCTCAAAACTGAAAATTGGAGAGCAAATAAAACTATCTCACTAATAGAAAAGATGGGGAGATAATTAGGAATACCATGATTGTGACAACAAAAACAACTGGAGCATCATGCTTTGCCACTTGGAAATAAAATATGTTAAGTCATGGAAGGCCAAGAGCTTAATGACTAGCTAATAAGGCTAAAGAAGATAAGATTGTGTTTCATATAAAGACCACTGTAAATCAGTACAGACAAGTTTTCCCTGTCAACTGCAGACCAAAAATAAACCAAGTAAAACTAAGTTATGGTAGATAAAATTTTGTACAGCCGTAAGAACTTTCTATCAAAAATGGAGTAAGATTATGGAGTCTGTGATCCTTGATATCCAAACTCATGTGATAAACTACCATACCACACTAAGTCATAACAGAATTCAGATTCACATCTTGGAGTAAGACAGTCCTGATTTTGAATTCTGGCTTTGGCATTTAATAGCTGGTATGAATTCAGAAGGAAATTCTTAATCCCTGAGTCTATTTCTCTCTTGAAAAATGGGATTATCTACATTTACTTCATGGGTAATACCTCATAGTGTGTTACCATGAAAACTACATGAGAATAACGCACATGATATGTTAAAGTGTTTGGCACATAATATTTGTTAGCAACAATGATAAAATAAGTATTAGTTAAAATGATGACAGTATGCTCTAATTTACCCAGGAGACAAAAGTAAATTTTCATTCATTACAACTTGTTCATAAAAGCACATTTTATAACCTGAACATGATTTCATATTTGCTGTCTCTTACAGAATCTTGTGCTTAAACAGCAGAAGTATTTGTATCATATTATATGTGGAGAATTTTATGCTCAGGAAGTTTAAGTAACTTTACCAAGGTTACAATACTATTTAATGGCAGTTCTGGGGCTAGAAGTCTGATCTTCCAACTTCTACTTGGTGAGGCTTCCTCTGGTCCACTTTATCAGTATGTTCATTTTGGGGGCACGTACATAGTTGAAGTGTACTTTTTTTGCTGACCTCCCTTACACATTACCAAGTAAACCTGGTCACAGAAATATTAATGAAAGGTGATGCATGAGCATGATTTTGTGACTTCCTTTCCCTCTAATTTTGATTTCATATAGTGAACAGTTTATTAGAGGTGGACAGTTGCTTTCAAAAGCTGTAGGCAAAAAGAAACATCACTTCACATACTTTACTTTCCTTAGAATTCAGCTTCAGTTGCTCCAGTTCTTCTTTATGTTTCTGTTCCATTTCTGCTTCCAATTTAGCAACATCTTCAGTGAGTTGCTTCCTCCTCTTTTTGTCATTCTTGGGAACAGCATTCTTCATACCCTGAATTTTGGCTGAAAATCCACCAAAAATCATTAAGTCAACAACCCAGAGATTAAGAGGAAATGACAAATAGAGGCAATAAGGGGATGATAAGAGAAGTGTGTAGACGAGTAATGATGTAAGCCAAGAAGAGTACGTAACAATCAGACATTTACAGAGAAGAACCCAGATGAAGAGACAAAACAAACAAACAAACAAACAAAAAACCTCATTAACAAAAACGTACGTCTGTTTGGTGTGATAGGAGGAGGGGAAAAAATGACTCTGAGTTTTAAATCTCTCAAGCATCCCTTCTGAGTCCTCAAAACTGAGGTATTTCAAAACGCGTCCATTAGCGCCCAGTATCAGTAACTGATTAGGAACAGGAAAGGGAGACGGGAGAGGGAGAACAATCTGGGCCCAACACGAAATTCTCAGACACCAGCACCGGCTGTGGCGTGGGACAGTGGGTACGCGGTGGACCTGAGAAAAGGAAGCTTCTAAAGATCTGGCGGATTAAGGGACCACCGGGGCAGGGGATTAGGAGGGGTGAGGCCACTGGCTACTCTGGGAAAGTCTAGGAGGATCCAGATCAGAAGCCTCTCGGGATTCCCTAGAACCGACCCGCCACGCGCCCTTTCCTGGATCCGACAGACTTCTAGGTTCCCATTCCCTCGTCACCTTGCAACTCTTTCTTCTCTTTGCGATGCCTTCTCACTAGCTGCTCCTCCTCATCAAGCTCCTCCGCCAAGACTGCCTCCATGACGACCAGATAGCCCTGCACATGCGCTAGTAGAAACCTGCACCACCGACTACCAGGCACTTTCCACCCCTCAACCTTCACCTGGGGTTCCATTGGCCGTGGCTGGGACCCAGTCCCGCCTTCGAGGCGGTACCGGATCTAAGCCGAGTCATTGGACCCAAGACGGGATGGACGCATGCGCACTCCCATGACCCCCTGATGAGGCGGGGCGGCGGGGGAGGAGCGCGAAAACGCGTGGGGGTGTGGCTTGGTTCGCTGGAGTTTGCTGCCTCCCGATTGGCTAGCGCGCTATAGCTTCCCATCAACAAAGCTAAGCATCAGGCTATTGGCTCTGACGTGAGGCGCGCAGTGCTGACGTGACGGAAACCATTTTGAACGTTGGTTTTCTTTTGTAAGGGGCTTCGGAAGGCTTCCTTTAATCTTTACTTTTGGTCCCGTTGCCAAGAAGAGTTGTTCAAAAGGTAAGCAAGAAGAAGAAAATATTTCAATAAACCTGTTAATAATTATCAATGCGAATCTTTGGGCTGACTCGGTCAAGCGGTAGAGAATTAAGTTTTGTTTATTGTTTTAAAGGTCGTAATACTTGACTTCGGAAGAAACAGCTTACAATCGAGAAAATGCCGCCTCTTGAAACGGATATAGCAGTGGAAACCGAAGAGAGAGTAAGGTTTGAGCATCATATAACACAGGAGCTTAAAGATCTATGCTCATTGATAAAGAGGCTAGTGTCAGAGCCCTTGGAAAAGAGAGAGAGATAACAGAAATGTGCAAGCCTGGTCGGTCACAAAATCGAATTACCGAAGTAAATGCAAAACAAGAGAAACATGCAGAAAAAAAGGAAAAATAAAAGAGAAGAAGAGAAATCTACAGGATCGATCCAGGAGATACAATCTACACGTAATAGGAATACCTGAAACGGGAAAGCAAATGAAGCTGAAACAATAAGGACCTAATTGAAGAAAATATTCCAGATTCGAAAAACGAACTAAATCTGCAAATAGAAAAAGTTCATAGAGTATCAGTAAAACAACGAAAAGAAAGCAACACCTAGACCTAGCCCAGTGACGTTTTTAAACTGGAAGGATAAAAAAATTCTACAAGTATTCAGAGAAAGCAGGTTACCTGTAAAGGGGTAAAAGTCAGACTGACGCGATTTTTCTCTTGCAACTCTAAATGCCGAAAGTATCTACAGCTTTAAGGGAAAATGATTTTGAACTAAGAGTTATATATCCTGCCAAGTTATCGTTTCTAAATGAAAGCAACTGGAAGACATTCCTAGATATGCAGGGATTAAGAAAGTTTATCAGCCAAATACCATTCTTGAAAAATTTGCTAAATGATGTTACTGCAGAGCACAAACACAACTCGAGTAGTGAGGCACTTGTATGGAAAAAAAATGGCGGGTAAGCCTTAAAGCTAGTTAAATATCATTAAAGATTAAATTGTTATATGTAGGGTTATAAAACTAAATGCAAAGATAAATTCTTGAGTTGGGTCTAAAATTTCAGTTTGTCTTGTTTTAAACCGAAAAGGTGTGCTAAATGTTCAATGCAGACAACCAGTAAGTACTGTTTTTAGTATGTAATGTAGATAGAGATATGCATGCTCTTCAGCTAAATAAATAAAAAGGGCTTTGTTACTGTGGTGGACAGGACACCTAGAGTAAAGGCATTCCAAGTGTTAATCTGGTAAAATGGGAAATTGGTACAGTTTTGTGTCCTTTATTTTTAATAATAGAGGGGGGGAAAGTAACAAGTTTGTTTATAATGTTAATGCTGACAATGTAAAGAAAATTTCCAAATCCCTGAGTGGGGAGGTGGTAGATGAAAACCTTGTTTTATGTACATCTTGCCTAGGGAAAATCAGTAGTAATCACTTCATGTAGTAGTTCATTCTAAGTAAATTTGACGTTGAGATGAGTGTTACAGATAAAAGAGGAGAGGAAATGGTGAAAAAAGAAAAACAGTAAGGAAACATTAAAATTAGCATAAAATAGATTAACAGAGATAACAGGTGAATTATCACGCTCATAAACAGGCTAAATATCCCTGTTAAAAAGATTCAAATTGGGTCAAAAATCAGTCTCTGAACCTGGAGGTTTACATTTGTGTGAAACAAAGGATAAAGGAGTTTAAAGATAATGAAAACTGTTAAAGCATAGAAATTGAAATAGGGAGCAACATTTTTATCAGAATTTAAGCTATAACAAAGTATAAAACTGTAGGATGTAGCATTTAAGAAGCTTTATGTGGTAAATAACATGGCATTCATCTGTAAAATGTTCAGTATCTTGATGTGAGTGGTAGTTTTACTGCTGTATATATAGTTAAGTGCATTCTAAGTACTTAATAAAGTAATTCTTAATTCAAATACATGTGGCAGTACATATATTGGAGACTGACTTCACTTACAGTCTTTAGTAAAGTAAATGAAAAGGGATAAACTAATTAGGAGGGGTGTGAATATGTGTATAATATGTATTACTTTGCTACTTCATTTACATTCTTTTCAAACTATCCTGAAACATTTCTAAATGATCTTGTGCTAGGATACAGAGAGAACTTTAATCTATGAGCACATTGCACAAATGACTACATTGCAAGAAAGACTAGAAACTAAGTTTAAAAGCTGAAAAATCATATTCTTGGAATTTTGGAATGTTCTCAAATAACTTGGGTCAAAGAGAAAATTGTAACAAACACTTATAATTTAGGAAATGCTACAATAAGGATGTTATACATTATTATGTTATGGAATGGGTGTACAAAAGAGAAGGAACAGGGAATGAAAACATTAGGTGAAGAATGGAACATGCACCTAGATAGACTTAGTAACTGGAGTTTGTAAATTTTGTTACCTTCCAATCTTAAGTAGTGGATATTCTCCAGTATAAGCTATTTAAGTGCCACAATTAACATCTTGGTGACAGATTTCTCCCAAATGAGTTTTAACATAAGTTCTAAAAGCTCATTTTCAAAGAAGGAGAAGCCAAAGTCTTTTCTCAACACCACAACCCCCATATTCACACACACAGGTTTTGTCTGTTTCTTAGACCTCCATATAATATTTCTTGGGGTACGGTTTTTATATTGAAATTATTGTCCTCAGAAAAGCAATATCAGCATTGCCTGGGAGCTTGTTAGAAATGTATCTCAGGTTAATAGCAGCATGGGATTAGATTATAAAATATATTAAACATCTATAAACTTTTTCACTGAACATAATGCATTGTACGTTATGAAAGCTTAATAAATGTTAAAATAGTATTAAAATCTAGAAACAGTTTTGCCGAAGCAGTGTTATTGTATAAAAGTTTTTGCATTTGAATTGTAAGTCACATTTTCCAAATATTTCAGGGCAAGACTGGTACTTTTTGTTTTTCTTCTGTCTTGAAAATTTATAAAGTTGGGACACAAGGAAAATTTCAAGTCAAACAATCCAAAATAAGAAATGTTGAAGGAGTACAACTTAAAATGGTAAATGAAGAATGAGCCTCTCAAATAATAATAATAATATAATAGGTCTCTCTAGTGAATAAGATAACCTTGGGGTGGATTTAAATTCAAGTCATGTGCAGATAGTTCAAGGGTTCTGGAGGAAATCAAAGATTATAAAAGCTGTAAAAGGCCTTCATTAACTATAGAATTGGTGACAAATGATAAATAGTATTAGCAATAATTGGAACAGCAGCTCTAGTAAATTACAGACAGGACTTACTTGGATTCTCCAAGGTTGTACTCTCCTGAAGGTGATAACATTCTTGTATTACTAAGGATGGGCTAGAATTTGCAAACCAGTTGCCTGAAGATATATTAAGATGCAGATAATAATACAACATTTGGGGTAAAGCTGAGATTGTGTATTTCTTAAAAGTACCCATGTGTTGATGCTGCCAGTCTGGATACATAACACACTTTCAAGTAGAAAAATAAGATCTTCACTGTGTCTATTAACCGTGAAAGTGAGGCTCAGAAAGTAATTGGCTTAAGGCCGCATAGTAAATATCAGAACCAAATCTGATTTCAAGGCTGTAATTTTCTCATCTATGTAACCTTACCTCATCCACACTACAGCACCTACTTAGAAGATTGTTGTGAGGATAAATTTCTGGTTTATATGATAAGGAAGAAAGCTCATTACTTCAGTTAAGGTACATACGCAGAAAAGAATGGCTTATGGAGGGAAAAAATGAGGTTTGTAACATACTGATCATGATTTGTGACAGGAAGATTTGTGGATAAGTCAGACAGGTATTTGGAAATTCAGGTCTAGAGCCAGAAGAGATGTCAAGATTGGAAATTTAGGTTTGAGTTGTTTTATTTGAAGATGGTATTTGAGGCCATGAGAAATCACCCTGGAAAGGATGGTAAGAAATAGAAGGGAAAAGGAAAGGAGATTAAACCATAAGGGACACCTGTATTTGATGGGTAGGTATTACAGAGGAATAGAAGATTGAGATTTATAGTTCCAGTTGAATTTAACATCAAAAACAACGCACACTATTGTCAGCCCTATACTTAGCGATGGGTAATATGGAGTATGCGGCTTTTATCTTTGTACCAAAATTGTTTTTAATTTGTAATTTTAAAACTTAAAAATAATAATGGCACACCCATTGTTCTAAATATTCTAATTTGTAGTTCACTGCGACATAGTTGATTATTGTTACTATAGTTATTTCTATAAAGTCACACTGAATTAGCAAATACTGTATCATTGCATCTGGGGGAAGGATAGGATTAGGTTCCCGTGAACCTCTGGTCACATAATTTCCATCAACTGATCAATACATAGCCTTGTTTTAAGATCAATATCTGTTGTTGGTTCACCAACATTAAACTCATAGCCAACAGCACTGTAATACATGGCCTGAACAAATCTTACCTAACTAAGGCACATCAGAGCCTTCTTGTACTTAGGAACAAGCACTACCTAGCCGTATTCTTGGATCATTTTAAACAGCAAAATCACCAAGAAAAGACACAAAAATGCAAAAAACACTAAATACATCATGAAAAGGGCACTTGTTTGCAGCATGAGAGCTGAGATAAGACTGTCACCTTGTCTCACTTCATCTGAGCCTATACATGTCAGATGACAAATTTGCACATGTACATGCCCATGAAAGCACCGTAAGTATTGATGCGGGGGTTTACTAGTAAATTTTAGTAAACAAATTAACATACGTAACCTGCAAAAAATGAATATGGACTATAATTCAACGTTTTTGTTAAGTATTTCCAACTGGAATTGGGAAACCATATTTACACTAAAAGCCAAAGAATGCAGCTTTGAGGGGGTACAACACTGATGACTCCCACAGAATTAAGGATCGCTGCAATGGTCCTGAAAGACTTGTACGTGATCACCATGAACACAATGGTTTTTGCTTTGTTCCTTTCTGTTGGCACTGAGCCAGGAAGTCTGGATTCCTAGCAACTGTTATTTTGCTGTTTTGTCTGGGACAGCAAGAGGAGAATGTTCCCAATATGGAACAGAGCCAGGTTGAGATCTAGACTATCTGTCCCAAATACTAATTTCAAAGAACTCTTAACAAGACTAAATGATGGTATAAATCTATATGCCAAAACAGTACAGAAAATTTGAGGGTTTGTCTTTTTTGTTTGACCAGACTGCATAATTGAGCGATATCATGCAACCAATTTTGAAATGAGATTGATACTCAAGAGTCACACACCCAGCCTCAAAGCTCATAAGGGTTAGTACACTGCTGAAGGAAATTGGGCCTTGGTTTGTTTTGTTTTTTAAGATTCATTTTAGTGAGAGAAAGCAGGAGCAGGGGGAGGCGCAGAGGGAGAGAGAATCTCAGGCAGACTCCCCATTGAGTGCACAGCCCAATGCAGGGCTCAATCCCACAACCCCGAGATCATGACCTGAGCCAAAACCAGGAGTTAGACAGTCAACCGACTGAGCCACCCAGGCTCCCCTGGGTTAGTTTTAATTAATTGGCAATTTTAAGCCTCTCATCCTAAAAGCTCATAGTAATAATAATAATAAAAAAACAGTATATGTCTTAGTCTTAGGTGGCCATAAAATACCACAGCCTGGGTGTCTTAACAGATTTATTTCTCAGAGTTCTCAGGACTGTGAAGTCCAAGATCCAGGTGCCAGCCATTTCTGATGAGAGATCTTCCTGGCCTGTGGATACCTGCCTTCTCACCATCCCTCCACTTGGCAGAAAGAGAGGGAGGGAGAGAGGGAGGCAGAGAGAGCATGCTCTCTGGTGTCATAAGGACACTAATTGTATTGGGTTAGGGTTCTACCCATATGACCTCGTTTAACCTTAATCCCTTCTTTATTCCAAATACAGCCTCCCCAACATAGGAATTTTTTGTGTTGGGGCACAATTCAGTCTTTGGTAATATGGGAAGGCAATACAATTTAATGCAGCCTAAAATAACTGCTAGTTTACCGACACTGAGCTTTTAGGCAGCAGCCTATCTTAGTTGTTATGTGCTAAATGTTTTAGAATTATAAAAATGTGGAATGAAAACTTGAAATTTTGAGTGTAAGAGCTTTTTGGTTTCTGAAAAAAAATTTAACTGGACTTCTGTATTGTTTTCTCTCAAGAATTGCAAGTATTAAATTTTCATAATATGGCGGCTATGATTGCTAAAATGGACACTGGGGTTTTTATAAAGTCCTTTTGTATATTACTCTCTTGTTTAAACCTCAAACAATTCAATAAGAGGGAAAAAAAACTATTACCATTATCTAGTGTCTATTAGAGACAAAGTAAGGTCCGAGAGGTTTGAAATGGAGCAAACAGTATAATAGTAAAGAAATGATCAATAAATGTATTTCAGTGTGATTAACTTACTAACATTTTTTGAACATGGCTTAATAATTCATATCAAACCCATCAACTTCACTTCTAGAAGTTTATCCTGGAAATACAATAGAAAAGTATACAAAATTTATAATATTGAAAAAAATAGGGAATGATGTGTATGTTCAGATTTAAGGGCTTAGTTAAATACATTAACAGGTGGGCGCCTGGGTGGCTCAGTTGGTTAAGCGACTGCCTTCGGCTCAGGTCATGATCCAGGAGTCCCTGGATCGAGTCCCGCATCGGGCTCCCTGCTCAGCGGAGAGTCTGCTTCTCCCTCTGACCCTCCCCCCTTTCATGTGCTCTCTCTCTCTCTCTCTCATTCTCTCTGTCTAAATTCAAAAAAAATTAAGAAAAAAATAAAAAATAAATAAATACATTAACAGGTAACCACTAGGAAAGAGTAAGCTCTATATTAATTGATATGGAAACCACCTAATGATATGTAGTAAGAGAAAAAGCCAATTAACAGCAAATATTGTAATACTTATTGTACATGTTTGTGTGTGAGTATTTGCATGACTTTTCCTGTCTAGAAAATGTGTAGTGAACTATTTGGATATTGCCAAAATTAACAGTACTTACTATACATCTGGATGGTAGCTTTTTATTTTTTTTTTAAGATTTTTATTTATTTGAGAGAGAGAGAATGAGAGAGAGAGAGCACGAGAGGGAAGAGGGTCAGAGGGAGAAGCAGACTCCCTGCCGAGCAGGGAGCCCGATGTGGGACTCGATCCCGGGACTCCAGGATCATGACCCGAGCCGAAGGCAGTCGCTTAACCAACTGAGCCACCCAGGCGCCCCTGGATGGTAACTTTTTAAAAAAAATTCCTTATTTATCCTTCTTTAGCATGTGTCATGTTCACAGCAAAAGAAAGGCATATTACTTTTTAAAATTAAAAACATTTCTGCAGAAATCCTGAACAAGATAGAGATGATAAGTGTTACCCATTATCCCACCATGCATAGATGCCCTGAGAATGGGGTATTTCCTTATGGAAATTACTTTTAAATTACTTTTCAAATTTAGGCTAATACTATATATAAATTTCTGCTTTTTGTTCACTTCAATTATAATACAGACATTTCTCCAAGTCATTTGTTCCTCAAAAACATTTTTACCTGCTGCATATTTTCCTACCATATAAACCAGCTGCCAAAAATCACTTTTCAGCTTGTAGTTTGCTTCTCAGCAATATCAGATACTATTGACTATCTCTTCTGTCCACATTTCTACTCAAATGTCAGTGAAACCGGTCCTTGTCCCACCATATAAAAAAGAAAGAAGAAATGTGCTCTTCCCACCCACCTTTCCTATTTCCCTGTTGAACTTGCCTGACTTCTCTCCGTAACAATTAACGACCAACTGATATATATACCCTTGTTAAATTGAGTATTGTGTATCTCCTCCCTTCGCTTCCATGACATACCCTCTCCTGCTTTTTTTTCCTTTGGTTCTGACTGCTCCTTCTCTGTCTCTCACTAAAATTTGCTGGTTCCCTTAGGGCTCTGTCCCAGGCCCATTTTTCTCCCAACTTCAACTCCCATGGCTTCAATTACTACATCTGTGTGCCAACTGGAACTTTCTCCCAAGTGCTGGAGTCATACATATAAATACAGCCTCCTGGGTGGCTTCACTTGGATCGTCCCGCAGGTACTCTGGATTTAACATGCTAAATGGCTCTTCTCTAAATTTGTTTGGGTTTTTGTTCTTTTTTGAATAACATTTCTGTATTTCCAGGATTTTTTTAAAAGATTTTATTTATTTGACGGCAGTGGGGTGGGGGGAGCAGAAGAGGGAGAGGGAGAAGCAGACTCTCCTCTGAGCAAGAAGCCCGACATGGGGCTCAATCCCAGGACCCCAGGATCATGACCTGAGCCGAAGGCAGATGTTTAACCGACTGAGCCACCCAGGCGCTCAAGGATTTTTCTTTATTTTTTTTTTTTAATCTCAGTAAATGGCACCACTCCACACTGTAGAAGTCCCCACATGTTTTTGTTCCTGCATGGATCTCTGATCCCATTTACACCCAATCCCAGAACTTCAGCCATATTGGTCTTTTTTTCTGTTTTTAGAAAAATCAAGCTTCTTCCTACCTAAAAGTTTTAAGTTTTTCACTATGGGCTTCCCCAAATTTTCTAAAACGGACTTTTTATTATCATTCAGGTCAAAATTCGTATGTTTGATTTATCAGAGACGCAGCACCTAACCAACAAGCTACCTGAGACCCCTGACAATTGTGGTGGGGAATCTCATGATAAGTATATATCACTTATCTCAAGGAACTGTCAATGACTTCACCTTCTATAGCACTGTCAGAGCCCTGATTACCCTCTAATAGCATCTTTTTCTTGCCTTTTTTCTTTCACAGTTTTATTTATTGAGGTATAATTGACATACGATAAACTGCAACCAATTAACCGGTAAGCGGCACCACTGTTGTCTCAGTTGCTCACATCAGAAACCTGGGTATTGGGGCGCCTGGGTGGCTCAGTCAGTTAAGCGTCTGCCTTTGGCTCAGGTCATGATCCCAGGGTCCTGGGATCAAGGCCCGCATCAGGCTCCCTGCTCAGCGGGAAGCCTGCTTCTCCCTCTCCCACTCCCCCTGCTTGTGTTCCCTTTCTCGCTGTCTCTCTCTCTGTCAAATAAATAAAATCTTTATTTAAAAAAAACAACAAAAAACCTGGGTATCATTCTTGACTATTGTTTTCCCTTACCCTTTACTTTGAACAAATCATTAAACCCCACCTTCTTTTTTTTTTTGCCAGTTTTAAATCCAGTTTTATTTAAGACATTGCATTTTCCACTTAACAGTACAGTGCTTATAAAGTGCAATGTTTATTTCCTTTCTCTGTGCACATATTCCATATTCAAGTATCAAGAATGTCCAGTTTATTTAGTATAGCAGCTCAACATTAAAACTGCCATAGAATTTGCTACAAATTTGGTCCTTCGAATATTTTATGTGGAACAATGCTAGACCTATTCTCAGGTTGGCTTAATCAACCTCTTCGATGGTGGGTCCAGAGGAGGCACCACCAGAGGGAGAAGCTCCACCACCAGGGAAGCCTCCAGGCATTCCTCCTGGCATGCCCCCTGCACTCTGGTGCAGTTTGGTAGTGATGGGATTGCAGACCTTCTCCAGCTTTTTCTGCTGGTGTTCAAATTCTTCCTTCTCTGCAGTCTGGTTCTTATCAAGCCAGTTGATGATTTCATTGCACTTGTCAAGAATCTTTTGTTTGTCCTCATCATGGATCTTGCCCTGAAGTTTTTCATCTTCAACAGTTGCTTTCATGTTGATTGCATAAGAGTCAAGTGAATTCTTGGAAGACACCTTGTCCCGCTGTTGCTCACCTTTAGCTTTGTACTTCTCAGCTTCCTGGACCATGCACTCAATGTCTTCCTTGCTCAGGCGGCCCTTGTCGTTAGTGCCGGTAATCTTGTTCTCTTTTCCTGTGCTATTATCCAAAGCAGAGACATTGAGGATACCATTAGCATCAAACCCCATATTCTAGATGTATCGCAAATCAATCAACCTACCTCCAGTTCCTGGCACCACTTTAGGTCCAAGCCTGAATCATTTCTCACTTGTATTATGAAAGTATGCCTCTCTCAAGTTTACTCTTTATATACAATATGAGTGATCTTTGTAAAATTGAAACCAAATTTAAGAGTTTCAACTCTTAAATAGTTTTTCAATAAAGTGTATGTTTCTTAACATGCTTCTCAAGGCCATCTCCAGTCTCATCACATGCCACATTATAATCTATTTAAGCCATTCTGGCCTTTGGTATCTTGAACTCTCACACTATCTCTTCGGGAATGGAGTGCCTTTGGAAATAGTGCTTTCTCACCACTGGAAATTTTGATCTGCCATCACTCCCTGACCACACTATCTAAAGTAATAACACAATATTTATCCACTCATTCCCTATTGTAAGTACCCTAATTATTCCCCCTTATAATACTTCTACTTTTCTTCTGTTTTTTTTTTTTTGTATTTGCATATACTTTCACGAAGCACAGACTAACTAGATTCACCTTCTTCACATTTTTGTCCTCATTACCTAATGTAGTGCTGTGCACACAGAAGTCATTTAGTAAACATTTTAATAAGTCAAACATGGACTGGATGATCATTTAGCAATAAAGACGAATAAAAGAACATTTAAGGTCCCTTTCATCTTCATACGGTTATGGAAACATTGTCCCATATTTTATTATCAATATTCTCAGACTCAAATCAGTCCTCAGTGTTAATTAGAAGACAAAAGATCAGATCTTGTCCCCACAATGAGATTTTCCCAATGGCAACTAATAGAATACCAGTAAGTGAAAAGAAACACCTTATAGTACTTTTTCTTTTGGCCTTTTCTTTCTTTGTGTCTTAATTTATATTGTATTTCCCCTTTTTCAAGTATTTTCAGTTGCAATGTTTTCAAGTCTCATTTTTGTTTTCTTGCCCATTTCTAAATCTTTCTCACTAAATTATCTTTCTTCTTCCCTTATAATTTTTTTCTCCTTTTTCCTTTTCCTATCACTAAACAATCATGTGGCATTAGCTAAGAATCCTAACATGATGAAACCTGGTGTAGTGGGTATGGCATTTGGTACTCAGCATCCATTCCAACTTCTCCCTAAAAGTGAAAGAAATTTCAAGGACTGGAAAGATAAGTACTTTATTTCTTCTATCTCTTATAGGATTCTGGATTCAAATTAATTTCCATCAATTAGAGGGACTTGCCCAAGATTAATTGAGTTGGGCTGTTTTTTTCTTATTTCTTATTTCTGTTATGACTGATTCGGACTTTTGTGGAGACCTTGGGTAGCACTGCAGCAGCATTCCAGTGTCCAGTGCCTTACACCTCATATCTAGGTATCTTTCTGTCTCTAGGCAAAGCCATGGAGATGTGTTCTTGAAGTCAACACGTCTTGTGGCAGCCTCTGTATTAGTTTCTCTATGCCTCAGTTTCCAATTTTAAACTGAGGGGGACAGAAAGATGAAAAGTCATCTCTTTATTTTTTACCATAAAACTACTTTTTCAAACGAAATCTTATGCAGAAGCCCAGTATATGAAACAGATAAGAACAGAGCCAGTGAGACTGAGCGGAATGAGTGGCGTGGAATCCTACCTACTCTGATGAGCCTCAAGGAGTTAATTTGAATATCACTGGAGAATCTGAAGCAGAAATTTCCAATCTGCCTGTATTTTGGAATCATCTGAAGAGATGATTAGTTTTGTTTCTAATACTGTTGTCCCGGTCTCTTTTCCAAAAAGTCTGCTATTGGGACCAAGCACGTGTATTTTTTTTAAATCTCCCCAGATCACTCTAATATGCAGCCAGGATTGGAAATAACTTCTCCAGGTAGCTTTTCTTCTGATTCTGAGCACTCAGCTTTTCATTGCTTTTCTTCTTCTTTTTTTTTTTTTGTCTTATATGTATTTTTTAATGAATTTATTATCAAAAAACTTCTCAAAAAAAGAAAATACCAAGTCCATAAGTTTTCTCTGGTGAATTCTATCAAACACTAAAGGAATAAATAACATCAGTGCTACACAATATGTTTTTTAGAAAATTGCAGGAGGAATCATTCCCCATCTCATTTTGTGAGGCCTGCACAAACATAATACAAACCCTGGCAAAGATATTACAAAAAGGGAAATTTCAAAGCAATATCTCTCATGATTAATCCTTTACAAAGTATTAGAAAATCAAATTCAACTATACACAAATGGATACCGCAATATGTTCAAGTAGGGTTTATCCCAGGAAAATAGAGTTGACTTAATATTAAAAAAAAAAAATCATTTAGTGAAATTCAACATACTAAAAAAAAAAGAAAAAAACAACATGATTAATTCAATAGAGACATAAAAAGCTTTTGGAAAAAAACACTGATTCATGAAAAATCTGTCAAACTAGGAATAGCATAGAATTTCCTCCAACTACTAAAGAATATCCATGAAAACCATTCCTCCAACATCATACTATTTTTTTTTTAACTTTGGGGCTTTATTTTTTATTTTTTTAACATTTTTTTATTTAAATTCAATTAGTTAACATATAATGTATTATTGGTTTCAGAGGTACAGGTTTGTCATTCATCAGTCTTACATAATACCCAGTACTCATTACATCACATGCCCTCCTTAATGTCCATCACCCAGTTACCCCATCCCTCCACCACTTTCCCTTCCAGCTACCCTCATTGTTTCCCATTGCTTTTCAATAAGGCAAATCTCTCCTCTCATTCTGGGGACTTGAGTTTTCTTTTTCAACCTACAACTTCTCCAGAAGTCCTTGGATTTCACCAAATTCTTACCTTTCATTATACCTCTATTCTTTTATGTTACCTAGCTGGTCCAAAACCAGTGTCAGTTTCCAAAACAAAACATTATCTGTTTCTTAGGTCTTTATTGTGGTTTTGTTGTTCTTTAATACAAATTTATATAGAATAATAATATAATGATTAATAGATGGGACTTGGAGTCAGAATTAGGTTATTTTACATCTCTTCTCTTTATTAATTCTGTAGCTTACTAATTAAATAACTGACTTTTGAACCATATAATGAAGTGTGGATGGTTTCATTCAGTCAGTCTACTCAACTAATATTTTTTAAGTACCTGTTATGTACTGTGCAAGGAACCAAATAGACAGTCATCTGCCTTTAAATATATCCCAAGTGTTAATGGGCAAAGATTCTATCAATTTAAAATGAGAAATATGCATTCGGATGAAGGAAACAGACATCAAGAGGGTTGAATCTGGTCTAACATAGTTGTTTGACCTGCCCAGTGTTGCCACATATTTCTTTTAATTGGCCCTCAAACATTTTTTTAAAGATTTATTTATTTGAGAGAGAGAGAGAGAGAGCACACTTAACCTGTTCTGGCTTAAGTGTATTTTGGGCCAACTGAAAATGTTATTTGCTAGATCTCAAGATTTGCTTCTTTCCTTAACTCCTTTAGAAAATAGATTTGGCTTCATTTTTCTAAATGCAGGGTTTTCTCCTGAGGTTTCTTCCACTTTTTTAAACGTTTCCCACCAGTGTACCAGGAATTGTGATCAGAGACACTTGACTGGGTTGTTACTGTCAAAGCACTTAGTAGGTTAACAGAGAATAGACATGGAATAAAAGGTGAAAAGGAAGTTAGATTCTAAAGGAACACAAGAGTTTGGGAATCTAAGTATTGAGGCAGAATGCTTCAGAAGATAATACAAAATTTTCAGCACAAGAAGTAGCCAGAGTTCAAATATGAAACAGGGAATTGCTCTTGAAAATCAACTCCATTGTTTGTTGTGGTAATTACCTACTCCCCCCAACCAATTACAATGATTAGCATAGTGCACTGGGTAATGTAATTTTCTTGGCAGGACTATTATTGTCTATGCAGGCATTCATGTAATGCCCTTAATTTTGTTTAAAAAAAATATATTTTAACTTAAATCAGCATTATCTATCATGATGGGAAAAAGATCAGATTTTGTCATTGTGATGTTTATATCAAGGAAGCCTTAAGACATGTTCATTAAGGTGCTTTCTTTCTAGCATTTTGATTATACTGAAATTAGGTAATCAGTGGTGCCTGTTCTGAGGAGCATGGCAAGTAGAATTAAGAATGAAAAGCTCTGGGAAAGAAAAACAAAAACACATCAAAGATTTCCAACACTTTACTCTCTTAGATTTTAAAGAAAAATTAAATTTATTTTGTAAACAGGTACAAATTACAATAATTTACCACTTAAACAAAAGCTATAAATTATCAAGTAGAATAAACAGAAGATTATATTCTTTTTTAACAGTATTAAAGTTTCAGCTATAACTATTTGGTTAGTACTGGTTACTATTTACATATTTCCTCAGATAATTCCACTCATCCCTTTATAATGGTTACTTTAATTTTTCAACATTCAACATTTAACTTAAATTTTAATATTTCAATCTTAAAATATTACATGAAAGTATTTTACCGTGTAGTATTTATAGCATTTATTTTTAATATTTGTTTTTATTCTAAAAAACAACAGTTATGATTTTTTATCAGCTTTATTGAGGTATAATTGACAGACAAAATTGTACATATTTTTTTAAGATTTATTTATTTTAGAGAGAGGGAGCATACACGTGCACATGCAGGAGGGTAGGGGCAGAGGGAGAGAGAGAAGTTCAGACTCCCTCCTGAGCGGGGAGGCGGACACAGGGCTCCATCCCATCACCCTCAGATCATGACCTGAGCAGAAATCAAGAGGTGGACATTCAATCAACTAAGCCACTCAGGTGCCCCTAAAATTTTACGTATTTAAAGTGTACGGCATAATGATTTGATATATGTATACATTGTGAAATGATTACAATAATCAGGTTAATTAACACATCCATCACCTCACATACTTAAATTTTGTGTGAGTGTGTCTGTGTGTATTGAAAAGGCTTAAAATGCACTCAGCAAATTTCAATCATACAGTATTACTAACTATAGTCACCATAC